TGAGGTAGTCTCAAAAGTCGCAGTTAAAACATACATAGGGGGCACCGCACCATAGGGCGCACCGCACATTTTGAGGGAAAAAAAAGACGTTTAAGTGCGCCTTATAGTCGTGAAAATACGGTATTTGAGAAGCATTAAAAAATCATGTAGTTAGCGGAACTAAAGTATTATCTTAGTTTGTCTATTCCCTTTGTGTTTGCCACTATTCTGATGGATGCATAACACATATGAACACCAAGCTTATGAATACACCAAATAGTTTTAACTTTAATGTCCAGCACAACTTTGTTTTGAATTAAATACAGTGGTGGCTGTAACAGGCCAAAATGTACCCAAAAGACATTGCAGAACAACACATTTGTATGTTTTGTGACAGTAAATTACCTTTATTGAGCTGGGCATCGTTGGCCGAGCTGTCTGATTGGAGCTTATCTTCATTTGTAGACTCAAACTAGATGAAGTGAAAGTGAAAGCAAAATTAAAATGACATCAGTTTAAATTGTTCAAATGCAGATTGGTCAAATGCAGCAGAGGCCAAAACACCTCCATCAAAACCTAATACACTTTTTCTATGATGGATCCAACAAGTGGCAGATGGCTTTGGAAAAGAGGCTTTCAACAAAACCTGCATTCATTTCTCACGTGATGCATTGTTTGACGTGCACCAGTAGTATGAAGAAATGTTCAGTGGAAAAGGTTTTAAAACCCCTGAATCTGTAACAAAAAAATCTGCCAATCACCAACTGGTATAAAGTTAAGAAAGACACCTGCAACGGTTTGGATGCATCAATGCTTCCCCTCTTATGCAGTACCACAAATGGATGGCAATGAAATATTAAAATGGGTCATTTCTTTTCATTGGTACCCTAAAATTACAGCCATTATATTTAATCATTATAATTATGTATATGCAGGGTTCCATTTAAATGTAGGGTTAAAAAGTCTGCCGGAAAAGAAAGAGGCAATGTGGAAAGCATAAAAGGAGAGTTCTGAGTGAATTCTCAGTGCTGCGACATTTCTGTAATAGAGTCTGGGCATCATTAACAAAAAGTTGAATGCTATTCTAATATCTGACAGTTTGAGGTAGAATTATTTATTCATACATATTTCTTTTTTTCTTGACTATTATAAAATAACTAAAAAAAATAACTGTCAGGAGTACATACATTTAAAGAAATAAAAATCCCCATTATTCAGGTAATTTAATTTTAATTGAAGATGAAGTAATTGGTCAGGCATCTCTGAAAACCCTTTTTCCAAATTGTAATCAAGTTACGATTTAAATGCATGTAACTGAATAAAAAACGCATTTAATCATTTTGCCAAACATGACTTAGAGTAATGGACAGGGAAACTTCTGTTAGGAAAGGTGCAGTCTTTTTCTTGTAGTTCATCAAGAGTTCTAACATCTCAGATGGGATTATGACCCACTTATCAAATTACACACTTTCAATGATTTTCTTTGCTGCTATTTGGCAAACTAAAGCTCTAGCTCCCAATGGACATGTTCAATAGGAATAAGGTTACTGCCTTGCTTGCCTAATGTATAACTCTAATGTTCTTTTTTAGCTACTCAATGGTTGATGAGGCTGCATTTTCTGGGCCTTTACCATGTCCACTGACAAAGGGTGAGTTTTTTGCATGTGTGTTGCGATATCATATGATCACGATACGGTATTATCACGATATTGCAATATCACTATATATTGCAATATTTTACCCAGCAACAAAGAAATGTTTAGGTAAGAAAACAAGTTCTGTAGATGTTCATCGGAAGCCATGTAATTAAGGGTTTGAGTCAGTCCATGTCTTCCACTGTGACTGCCTCAACTTACAGAAATGGTACTGCGCCGCACAGCAAAAGGGACTCATGGTGCCATCTATCAGAGTGGGGGTGCAGAGGCAACCCTTTTTCCTCATTGTTTTAAATAAAAAATAAAAAAGATTTAAATCTATATTAGGTACTGAAAGATTGATAGTTTAATGAGCAGCTGAAAATCACAACATATCGCCAAATCCATTTTTTCCCACATCCCCCACAACAGACACATGACCAGCCCATCTAACAAAAAATGCTAACAATGCTAAAACTTAACAATGAGGATGTTGTAGCACAGTAATCTTTTTACCTAAAGCGTATAATTAAATTCAATATAATGTAATATAACAAGGAAGTGGTATTTTAACAACCAGTCAACATAACAATAATCATACCTAATGTCTTAACCTAACATTTTAGAACCGTAGGTACACCCATTGCATTTTTCTGAAAATTTGTTTCCTAAAATGTTTTTTCTTGGGAGAAAACTAGAGCTATGACAATTTGACAGAGTGTGAAGCAGTCAGTGTACAGCTTGTATCAAGGTCAAACTTAACTGTCAGGTCAAATAAGAGAAATCAGTAACAAAAATGAGAACCGTTCTATATGGTGGATCTCTAAGACCTGGCATTCCTCCACCACTTTGAGTGGAAACTTTCCTATTGGCTACTGCGCCAAGCTCACTTTCAGGGCTTTGGCAAATTTCTTTTACCCTAGGTCGTCTTTTTTCCTGGGTCGTCTTTAAATTTAAGTGACTGGTTTTAAAGCCATAGACCAGATTCAACAAAACTGTTTCTCATTCACAAAAGTAAAAACTGATTAGTCAAATAACATCCTAAAGGCTAGTTTAACAGAATTCAGACATTCCATATTAAGGTTCTACTATCATCTGCACAGTTTAGATGTGATTTACACTCCTACATAAGCTGTGCATTGGCTTTTTTTATATTGTACTGAAGTGTAATATTTAGATGTTGTCTCATGAAAAGGTGTAAGATAAAATTGTATAAATGTGAGGAGTGTAAACGCTTCTGTGAGGCACTGTATGTGTCGAAACATTTTTCATGCCACACTAAACAACTAAATATGATGAGCTAAAATATCTGGCCATTATTAGTGGTAAATGGGGTGAGATAGGAAAAGAAAGATGATAAAGGCCAAAAGACACTGCCTCTTCAGATACATTTCAGAAAGTTTAAGTCACATTTGAAAGCAGCACTGGTTGCTTGTGATCTATGCTGTCAATGGTTAGTGAACAAAATCAGTTTGACCTGGAAAATGACCTTTTCAGAGAGCTGTAAATTCAAAGCTCAGAGGTAAACGAGTGGGAGGAAACAGAAACATTCTAGGGAGACTTGATTCAAAAATTGAAGATTGTCTCAAACAGGTCAGAGGGTAAACTCTCAGACCAGAAGGTTAGCTTTCCTTAGCTGGGTGGTCTTCACCTTTTGGAAAATAATAAAATAAAAAATACCAGCACTGAATAAAAGCAGAGGTATCTGCAATAAAATGTAGAAATATTGTAAAAATCTAAACCAAAAAACAGAAATGGTTGAATTTAAGGTTTTTTACACATCAAACAATTCAAACTTTTCTTGATAAGATATAAATAAAAAATTTTTTTTTTTTTATTTATTAATAAAAATATAATCATTAGTTTACTGCAGAGTAGCATTGAGATACACGAAAAGCTTTACACAGACAAATTCATATGTGGAAGTTGTTCAGTATTCTGAACCTAAAAATATTTAGGTCACATTAACTTGAACTAAGAATTGTATTGTCCAACAAGCAAAAAATATGAACTTTTTTCAAAACAATGTTGAAACTTATTAATAGAACTTACATGTATTTGATAAAATTAGATTTTTTTTTTCAAGTTAAGGGTAAAACCTCCAAATCTTCACTAATCAGAGGATGTAAGAACTCGAAGGATTAACCCTTAAAAAAATCTATACAAATACAGAAAGTAACATTTTTACCTGACATAAGAATATCAAGAGTAGTGTTCCTATCCAGCATGTAATGGATTTTATAACTTTTTGAAAAGTTAGCCTAAGGTTTTGAAGGATATCAGATTTATTAATATTCTTTTAATAATTTAATGTTGCTGTTTTATTCAACAACTTATAAATCCTTAATTTTAAAATGTCTGTCATGTTTTTGTCACCGAGCAGAGACACAGAGACCAGTTCAAACAAATATGCAGAGATAATCTCTCTCCACTAAGCTAAGGAATGGGACATTCAGAGCCATAGGTCAAGGAACACAGAGAATTTCACTAAGAGGGGAAACGAGACCAGAGGCAAATGGTGGAGTATGAGAACATGTTCGACGATGGAGGCCTTCCTTTTGCTAAAATATTCATTTCTTTTCAAACTTTCCTAAAAGTTAAGTTTGGCATTTAGAAATAAGTTTGAACACAAACCAGTTTCATCTTTCCAGGGACAGGGAGAGAGAGAGAGACCATTTGAGAGGGTACTTTTAAAAACTCATTAAATGTACTACTGTACGGATGAACAATACGTATTGGATAAACTGATGAATTAATTATAAAATTGATGGACAGAAAGACTAGCAACGATGTTGAAAGATTAAGAGTCACTGGATGAGATGTTGAACAGTAAACGGATAGTGTGAGGAACAGATAAACTAAAAAGATTGATGGATAAATCAATAGTGGGAGGATGGTGGGATTGAAAAACACATTGATAAATCAATGGGAAGATAGAGCTATTGGTAAACCAATGAACAACTGGAAGGACAGATAAAGAATAAAGCAATGGATGTATAGGTAAGCCACTGGACACTTTGATGGACTGATGTGTGTGTGATGTAAAAATATCTGTGTGATTAGTAATTTTATGAACATTGGGCTTTGTGAGACATTTGAGATTCTGTCTGCAAGCATCTTTTCCCCGTCTGTGGAAAAGATGGAAGAGGTGTATCCCTGGTTCATCATAATTCTACCTGGCCATTTGCAGAAAATGTCACTTCAGATGCTGCATGCCAAATTCGTTCCTTATACACCTTATTCATTATATCCACCTTAATAAAGGAGTACTTGAAGTCAAGGGGTTAGATTTGGAGTGTTTGCAGCTGCAGGAAAAAATGGGACATTGTGCGGCTGTCATTGCTCTGTTCAGTGAAGAGGTTGAGGAGCGTATGATTCACTTGCATTGATGACCTAGCAGGAACATCTTTTACTGCTGTAAAATTATCTATCTTACTAAAACATCAGCTAGAATGTGTCTTTCAGAAAAAAAAAATTATTAGCTTAAGTCCTACCTGAAACTGGGCAGACACGTCAACGAGCAGCCCAGTCATTCAGACTTGGAGGTGCAGAAGCAACATGTAACATTCTTAGGTATTTACTAAATTATGTCTGCTTAATAATAATCTACTCTGAGGATTTTAGAACTGCTAGTGCTGGGCTGAAGAAAAAAACAAAAACATGCCCAGATTACTCTAGTTTCAATTATTTTCCTATGTTTTTTTACACAAATTTCAAAATGTCACTTAGTTTTAATCGTTTTCACTAAAGCTGCACCACATATCAAATCTTTTCAAAAAATACACTTTTACCAAAACCTTGAGATTGTCAAACAAGCTGTTTTATTTTTTGGGTTTTTTTTTTTTTAATTCTTAGGTCTAGATTTACAAACAAAGGGAAATAGCCTTTTATGTCGCTATAGCAATGCTCTGGAGCGACCTATAGTTTTTATTTGATATCTACCTAACAAACAATATAAAGAATCTAAAAAAAGAAAAATCAGTTAAACAAGCTTTCTGCCTTTCCTTTTAGCTGATTTGATCATTTGCACATTATCTGATTTGCTCACTGGCATTCATTCTCCCTGTATAACGCAGCTGTTCTAGCTATTTTTCTATAATTATGTTCCATCTTTTAACAAAAATATTTATATTCATTTCTACCTGTACAGCACTTTAGTTCAAATTCTTTGCATTTCTGGCTTTTTGTTTACAAAATAACGTCTTCATGTGAAAATACTAACTTTTTAATAAGAATACTCTGTTTGCATTGTTCGCAATAATATGTTTACGAGAACTACTAGATCCAATTTTTTTTTATCACCACTAAATCCAAACGCTGGATCTATTGGTCAGAATAGACAAACTGCACTTTAAACAATTTTCCTCACTGTTAAGCCCCCGAAGGCTACCTTCTTTTTTTTTTAACTGTATAGAATTTTTTTTGTTTCTTTTGCACAGCGGCATCAGCATATGTGAACTGCAGAATCGCAGATGTGTCTCAGGGACAGTTTTGCAGTAACAAAAAGAGCGCTGGCAAAGCAAAACACAACATCACACGTCAACACAGCTGATTCTGCAAAACTAAAATGATATTTTTAAGCCCTGTCAGTGTATGAAATACCAAAGGTGAAGTGGCTGCCTAATAAGCACCAACAGTGCCAGTCCAAAAATGTGTGGAAGTGTGTCTAAGACTCAATTTAGCTAGATCTCAAAAACAAAATCAGATTTTACTGGCACAATTATCTTGAAGAAAATATGACAGGAAGATAATTATTGATCTCTATTCAAAGTGTCATTTGACTCTATGATTGAGAGAAAATCTCATACATTCTCTCACCATTTTTACTTAGACAACTTTTATTATCATTTTGTATACACAGAGTGTATACAAAACACCATTTCATTTTGTACAGCTTTCATAACATTTTCATTGCTTAAAGTGTAGAAGTGATCAAATGTAAACAGTGTGGGATCTTTCCTTTCTGTACCCAAATAATTTGTGTTATAACATGCTGAAATAAGAGATTTCAGCATGGAAGTGTTGAAATCAGTAAATCAAAAAAGTAATTGATTTATTGAAATCAATTAATTTCAATAACTACTTGATTTTTGAAATAATCATCAACTAATTTAGTAATCGATCAATCGTTGACTGGAGAATACAGACTGTAAAACATGCCTTTAGCTGACAGATTAACCACTTAGAGCAATAATTATATCAAAATTGTAAAAAAAAAAATATGTATAAACATGTTTTTGTCTGTCAATTTGCTCTATCCAGAATTCATCAAGTGGATACCTTTTAGTTTCACCTGGTTTACTTTTGTAAAAAGTCTTTAAAGAACCTTTAGCTATTCAATTATTAATCAATTAATAAAAAAAAGAGAGATTAATCAATTTGCAAAATAAACATTAGTTGCAGACCTAGCTTAGACAACTATTGTTCCAATCTTACAAAGAAACCAGAATCCACTATGAAATTCATATAAAATCATACATGCACACACACTTTGTGTCACACTATCCTTGTGGGGACTCCTTTAACTTCCATTCATTTTCCTCTCATTATTATGGTCTAACCCAGACCCTTACCCTAAGCCTAACCATTACAACACATACCTAACCCTATTCCTACACCTAACCTAAACTCAATTCACACATTAGTCCTTAACCTAACCACCACTCAAATAAGAGAAGGACCAGTCATTATTCTCAACAAGTAAATACAAGTCCCCAAGATGTAGCATATTCCTGGAAAATTGTCTCAGCAAGGTTACAAAAACATGGCTACACCCGCACACACTTATTTAGATACTGGTTTTAAACTGTAACTAGTCAGACATGAATTGGAATTAATGTTGATTTAATCAAATTACATCTTTTTTTTTTTTTTTTATTCTTATTCTGATTAAGCTGTAATCCCTCTTCCAGAGGAGAAAGTGATCCTCTTTGTAGCAGCAGATAAAGATAATATCNGTCAAACTTTTGGTGTCGATCATTCGATTTCATCCTGGACACTACAGAAAATGGGCTTAAAGTGTAAAAAACCGAACTTCTCCTTTAACCTAACCACCACTCCAATAAGAGAAGGACCAGTCATTATTCCCCACAAGTAAATATAAGACCCCAAGATGTAGCATATTACTGGAAAATTGTCTCAAGGTAACAAAAACATGGCTACATACACACACTTATTTATAGATACTGGTTTTAAACTTTAACTATTCAGACATGAATTGGAATTAATTTTGATTTGATCAACTTACATTTCTTTTTTTCATTCTTATTCTGATTAAGCTGTAATCCCTCTTCCAGAGGAGAAAGTGATCCTGTTTGTAGCAGCAGATAAAGGTAATATCCATTTGTTAAACCTGTTAAACTGTTCAGGTTGTACTGTAGAAACATGCCTCTACATGATCATGCAAAATCTGTTACAACCCCACAAACAGAGGGGAAAAAAACATGCAAGTTCTTGTGGGTTTGTTTGAAAAATAAACCTGGAAATTTAAGAGTAGCTGCATAAAAAAATCTGTCAAGTTTAGATTGAGACCTTCAATATGATCTCTTTTCCATCCCATTCTCTAAATATTAGATTAATATATAAAGATGCATTTTCAAATAATACCTCTGGTAAGGCTTTTCCTTCCTTTTGCAAGAAGTAATTCTTCTTGAACTCGTAATAGGCGTTATACTGATGCCAAGACTGAAGAAAATCAAACCTATAGCAGACAGAAACAAAAGCACAAGTTAAACTAAAGGATGATAAAGATGTTTTTTAGTCCATATAATCAAAAAAATATGTAATCCTTAAATTAACGATCAGTTTGACACAATTCTACCTCATAAAAGCAGTTACCTTGGATCTTTCTTAGCACGGACACTGGCTTCAAACTTCAGGCCGTTCCTCGCCACATACTCGGCCAGCTTGTCTATGACTGGCTGGATGTCTGGTGGTGGAGGAATGATGGCTGGTGCGGGTGTTGAAACTGGAGCTTCAACTTTAGAGCTACTATGGATGAAAATGTAGATATATAAACAGAAAAGTTATAGCGAACCCAACCGACAATTTCTGGTACAGGAAACTTAGTATATCCATGTCAGTATGGTTGTAACGGGTTATTCAATAGTACATCTTAAGCTGAAAAAAACGTTTTCTTCTGATTTCTAACACAGCTTTATTCCTATGCCAAATAACATTATAGTAAAAAAAGCTGATGTCTATAAACTCCGCCTCTACCTGATTTCTGGAACGTTGGTGGCAACAGCAGGAGTTTCAGCTGGAGTGGAAACCTGTGAGGGAGCCGTCGCCTGCGGCGCCACTGTGACAGTTACAGCAGGTGTTGAGGTGCTCTCACTCTGGGACGAAGCCTCAGAAGAAGCAGGAGCAGAAGCGACAGCTGAAGTCATATTGTTGTAGTATGAAGAGGCCTCTACACCTGGTGGAGGTGCGGCTAAGCAGTATGAGCCATCTGGAAGCATGTAATACCCGTAGTAGACAGCTGCATGGAAAAGGAAAAACTGATATGAATATGACAAGTCATTACTATTAAAGTACCGTATTTTCACGACTATAAGGCGCACTTAAACGTCTTTTTTTTCCCTCAAAATGTGCGGTGCG